AAATAAAATAAAAATAAAATAAAAATAAAATAAAAATAAAAATAAAATAAAAGTAGAGGAAAAAAAAATATCAAGCCATGTTATAAAACCACAAAAAAAGACGGATAGTTTGGACTAAAATACCTTACCCCGCCTCAGATATTGCGAAATTTAATCCTCCAGGACTAACTACCGAAAACAAAACTGTAGAAAGAAACTGTTGGTGCTTATATAAATAGGGGAAAAAAATGGAGCAACTGACTAATATTTTCTTCAATTTGGAAAACTTTCTAAGGCCCTGACAACTCTTCTTTGAGCTGACCTACATTTTTTATAACTCTTAATTTTTTAAACAAAAAAGCTAACTAAAAAAGATGAGAAGAAAAAAGACGCTAAAGAAAAGAAAATGCAGAAAGAAAAGAAAGACAAAAATATAGTGTAAAATTAATCCAATAGATTCTGGGCGACTTAACAAAAGTAGAGGGAAAAAAAATATCAAGCCATGTTATAAAACCACAAAAAAAGACGGATAGTTTGGACTAAAATAGCTCACCCCGCCTCAGATATTGCAAAATTTAATCCTCCAGGACTAACTATCGAAAACAAAACAGGAGAAAGAAACTCTTGGTGCTTATATAAATAGAAAAAGAAATGGAGCAACTGACTAATATTGCTTCAATTTGGAAAACTCTTCTTTGAGCTGACCTACATTTTTTATAACTCTTAATTTTTTAAACAAAAAAGCTAACTAAAAAAGATGAGAAGAAAAAAGACACTAAAGCTAAAGAAAAGAAAATGCAGAAAGAAAAGAAAGAATATTTTTTTAAAAATATGTGTATACATATAAAAATGTATGGACAGTCAAGTGACTTTTTAAAAGTAATACCTTTTAAAAATATTTCTTACCCTTCCATTATTACGTATACCATCTAAAGAACTGTGATTATCGAGCAGACTTCAGTACAATCAATCAAATTATTATTATTTTAAAGTTTCTGATGCTGAAAATGACTCCACAGGCCCTGGAAAAAAATTGAATACATCCAGCTGCAGCGTCCAAATTACCAGTTCTTAAAAGATATTTTTATATTGTATTTTTTTCAAGAAGTACCAAAATACTGTACTTAAAAGAGTATTTATATAATTTTATAAATACGGTAAAATAAATGAACATGGAAGTAATCGTTACTGATAAAAAGCTTCTAGGAAATGATCCATGCAGTGCCTCAATCCTGGTGGAGCAATCTTCAATTTTATCTAGTTGTTGGCAAATATTCTACAGTATGTCTAGGTTGCTACTTGCAAAATCACCTGAAGGTGATGACATCACACAGCTTTATTTTTTTTTCCTTTCCATGCATTTTTTCACAAACTAAAGGGAAATTCCAGGGAAATATTCTCAATAATCCACATAAAAATAAGCTCCAGTTAAATGGTTATTTTTCTAAATGTGCTTAAGATCAGGCTACATTATTAGAGAATTCAGTCCAGATGTAGCTAATCCCTAGGTGGCAGCGGAGTATCACACTAGAGAGCCTACCTATTGGCACTGAGATTGGCTCCCTGTGTCATCAATACTTCTCTTATGCATCTTCATGTGAGATTTCTAATCTTGCTCCATATGAAGATAATTTCAGAATTTGCTTTGACGCTACTTTTCATGGATAACTTTGTTTTGTTTTTCTGATAGTAAAACTAAACAAACACAATTTTTTCAAAAAAATGAAAAATAGAAAAGCAACACAGGTTCTGTAGGAAAACAAACGGAGGAATAGAATCCAAAGTTTATTATTTTATTTACTTTATATATCTCAAACAGGTGATTCTGGGTGGCAAACAATCAAAAATGAACCAATTAAGAACACAGTACAAAAAGAAAAAACATACACGCATACATATATTAACTGATATTGCAATCCGTAGATGTTCACATAATCAAGAAATGGGGCCCTTCACACACTTGGGACTTTTCCCCATTTTTTTGTCCAGGAGGATTGGTTTTTTGGATGTAGACTGCTTTTTAATTGGAAACTCCATTAAGTTAGCTAATTAAGCAGGACTGATTGATGTAGTCATGATCTGGCCTTTGGAAGCATATTGTCAATGGGTGATCCTACATCTCTGTCTCTCGAGTCAGCTCACACCATTGTTCCTGCTTAGGTGAAGACACCTTCCTTGTGCTCTAGCACAACATTAATCCCTTAACATCAGAATTCGTTTCTTTATTACTGTTCAGTTGAGTTATGCTTCTCAGAACTGTAGGCAAATTAGCCAGTGTGAAGTTAAGGCAGAGAAGTGAGAGGTTTCCCAGAAGGCTCCCGTGAAAGGCAGAAAACTTCATGAGAAGGCAGTGCAGGCAAAGATGCTTCAGTAGGAACCGATTCTTAGTGGATCAGAAAAGGTTTGGTCCATGCTGTATCTCTGAGCAATTGCATTTGAGAAAGGAGAGAGTTCCTTTTGTATAAATCTCTGTGAAGGAGCCATACCTTCCCTACCGTTCTCTTCTCCGTTCCTCAGGGCAAAAGGTCTTCCAACCACAATGCTCTATGGGTGGTTTGGAACCTGATTATCAACATTTTTTTCTCCTTTGCTGTACATAGTGACTGGTATCTTGTACTAGGTGTATTGTTCCTTCCTTCCTTTAAAGCCCTACATGGCTTAGGACCCAGCTATCTTCGAGACCGTCTTCTGCCGCACACCTCCCTGAGACCGATAAGATCGCACAGGATGGGCCTTCTCCGGGTGCCATCAGCTGGACAATGCCTGTTCAGTCCCCCCTTCCTCGCTCGTTAACAGACGACAGGCACACAAACGTAAAAGGGAAGAACTTTATCAGTTCTCGGCTCAGACTGGCTGCAAGCCCAAAAATAAACATAAACAAAGTCTCTGACGAGAAGATACAGAATACAAAACAAAACTCTTACAAAACAATTCACTTCTCCAAGTGTCTCCTTGAATCAGGGTTACAGAAAGCAAATCACTTCTCCAAGTGTCTCTCACAAACAAACCAGGACCANAAAATTATTTAAAATTATTAGCAAGGCTTATTATTTGTGTAAGATATTCTGAAGGGCAAATTATTATTTAAATGGGAAGCTATTAGAATTAATTACTGAACTGGGGATACAATTAGCAAGAGATTTTAGAATGTTTTTTTCTGTAATCAATTTTACACAATTTATTTAAGTATAAAGTTTGCTTTTTAAAAATATGAAAAACAGAATCTGCTATTAATTTCCAAGTTAAATTAGCTTACATATTTTTAAATGGGTTTAATTTTTACAGCTTAAAACGTAGCATGAAATTCAGGGAAATTACATTTATTCGCAAAATACATTGAACTAGGACTGAATAACAGTAAACAGAGTATTTTTTTTAATCTGCAGAATTAAATGTATTTAATTTTTTTATTACTCATATGTTCTAATGCTTAATTTGAGCAAATAAAGGCAAAAACTCCTGGAACAATATTTTAATAAATTCCATTTAAAATAAATTTGCACTTATCAAAGGATAGTCTATTATTACTTATGAAAATACTACGGTAGTATTTTAAAAATGTATTAACAGATATCATTGTTTCTTAGGAAGTTGCTTCTTTCCAAATTACCAGAACTGGCATTTGAAACATTTATTTATGGGATGGGACTTACTACTCAGATGGACAAAATCAAGCTGACTGGTACTAGCTTGGATTTTTATCAAACAATGAATAGATACAAATGATTAGAATTTAAAACTGATGTAGTATAAACAGAACTAGCATTAGATACATTAGAACTAGCTTATAAAATGATACTCTTAGCATTTCTACAATAAATCATAAGTTCTTTTATTATTGCATCCCTGTTTATCTCAAGCTTGCCTGAAAAAAGCCTAAATGTTTGTCTCACTGATTTTAATGGAAATTTCATTGAATAAATAAAAATTACAATACATTGAATCAATCCTTTATTAGCATAAATGGGAATTATAAACACTGAATTCAATGGAACTTATTTTTGAAAAAATATGTAAATAGCATTAAAGAATTCGCAAATTTACTAAAAAATAAAATTGTGTTGACAATTATCAAATAAAAATTGGATAACACAACAAATGAAATTACCTTAAACGTAAATCTTCCCATATTTTCAACAGGCCGCATAGCATTATTAATTCATAGTATTTTTTCCAACATTCAACAGCTTCTTCTGCTGTGGGCTCTTCCTTGACGTTACTTTGGTACTGAATTAATTCCAAATGCATGCTCTTGTATTTTTCCAAATTTCTTTTAAAGCGATGGGCAATTGGAGCTGGAATAATTCCATTCTGAATATCACACCAACTAAAAAAAAAAAATTAAGACAAACAGAAATTTAACTTTTGAAAATGCATATCAAAAAATCAATTTTATAACTGGAAATAAGGTGATGACTATGGGTTGGAATACTACAGTGCAATCCCCAATCCAACTCTC